GGCTAATGATATCAGGTGGTAAGTTTGCTGCCTTCGCTGTTTTCGTCCATTCTCTGTTCAGTTTGCGGTATTGCTTTTGAAACTCATCTTTTGTGGACATTTTATAAAGCGTAGCATCTTAAAGATGTCTTTCTGTTAACGCAATGTCTAGAAGATGAGGAATCACCACAAATTCGCCGCCTTTATCGCTTGTTGACAATCGTATTTCGGCAGCATCTATCATTCTATGAATTTGTTTTATGGCCTCTTTCTGCGCTCTACTAATGTTTGAATGCATCTTATTCTTGCGAAACCTTGCTAGTGTTCTAAAAACATCGTCGGCAAAAAGACGAAAGTTCGCGTCAACGCTTGGATTCGCATCCTGCTGTTTGAAGAACGTTCGTGGGAATGGAATCGGTAGCCAAGTGTCACTCGATCGCTGATTAACCCCTCCACTCTCAGAGTTTGCCTTTCTGCGGAGTTTGTCTTGAAGTTCCTGTAGAGCACAGGTGAACTTGCGCAGAACCAGTGTAGAGATGGACTGTGATGGTGAAAAACTCGGGCCCAACTCTAACAAAGAACGCGCATTACCAGGAAGCTCAAATCCTCCTAACACTGTTACTCGCGACGACATAGAAACTTGAAGACATTCGCTTTCAGTACCACACTCATTTCTATTTGAAAGGTTCATTGTATCGGGCTGTTTTGCAGCGGTGTGTTGCGACCTACTCAAAAGACTGTCGAATTTCTTTTGCAAGGCTGCCTTGATGCTAGACCGAATAGAATTACAGATTGATATCGACCCACCCACTATTCTCTGCCAGAGGCTATTTTCTAAGTACAAGGAACAACATCGTTCTTTCGCTATGCATTTCTTAGTCCAAGCGTACATTTGATTCTTCCGAGTGCGCAAGGCAATTCGTAATAGACGAAATTGTATTGATTGCACTTGACTGCTATACACTGGCAAGCCGCAGAGTTCATGTAATCTTTTCCGCAATATGAAATTCGGTACGATGCGGCAACGTAGGCAGCGTTCGAGGAAGTGGATTGACTGTCGAGTTGATACTATCTTTTGTCTCAACGACAGTGCTTCTTTGACAAGTCGACGATATCCGGCTGGTACATTACGAAGTAATTGAAAAGTGCGACTTTCTTTGAATCTCGGCATGAAGAATATTGTGTTGATTTGATTGTTGAGCCACGCCCGAGATTGGTAACAATATTTATTAGGCTGACGTTTCGGCTATGTCGCCTTCTTCAGAGCCTGAAATGGGCGATAACAATCCATAAACTACCCGATCAAGCATCTCGTCAGCCTCACAAGCAAATTTCTAAGTTTTCTTTCGGATCTCAAGCAAGCTGCCACACGCAATACTCACCTTTTCAATCGCCGGTGGAACTCTTAAGTATAAACGAGTGCTGACTGATCGCGTGAGTGGATGATTAAACATGTCTTCACCAGATCAGAAAATCTGATCTAGATATGGTGATAGTTCGCGAGTGATAGAAAGGCACTCATCTTTGCGATTCATTTTAGGGTGTTTGAAATGAATCCAGAACGCTTCTAATGTTTTGCGAGTAGATGTTTGAGGCTCACGCGCAAGGATTTCTACATTCACTTCAAAATTCACTCCTTGATGCTCGTGCACTCTGTGGGCGCCCAGTGGAGTGGATGGGCGTGATCTTTCTTTGCCATTGAGATGTTCCTTGATGCGTACGCACAGTGGGCGCGCTGTTTCCCCGATATACTCGTCACCGCAACTTTTGCATGAGATGAGGTAGACAACCCCTGTACTCATACAGTCGCCATCCTTTGCTGTGGGACATATCAGACAGTTTGGCATGGTGCAACTGCGGTCGTACATGCGATTCCGAACAAGAATGCGTTTCAAATTGTTCGGGGGCATGTCTACTACCAAGACTGAAAAAAAAACTAGAAAACTTAGAAATTTGCTTGTGAGGCTGACGAGATGCTTGATCGGGTAGTTTATGGATTGTTATCGCCCATTTCAGGCTCTGAAGAAGGCGACATAGCCGAAACGTCAGCCTAATAAATATTGTTACCAATCTCGGACGTGGCTCAACGATCATGGAATAGTTGCGGCGCAGCGGCCGCATTCTCGCGACGAGCGCTCGCAAAAAATTTTGTATTGCTGTCCGCTGACAAAACACAGAAGTACCGCTCGCTGAAGGTTTGGCCACGCCCAAAATTTTGCTGACCTCTTGCAGAAAAACGCGAGTTTGCGGACCGCCTGCCCCCGGCGATTATCTGAGTAGGTGACCACCCAAGAGATAGGTGATGCAAATTACAATCAACAGGTATGAACATGTGCCGAACAAGTAATTATATGGAACAGAGAAGAGGATAGAAGAACTCCTTATTGATCCACTGTGCGAAGTGCATTACTCACTGCAAGACAAGACGAGCATCTCTCAAATGCCAGATTTCAAAATAGCTACCTCAAAGCTTACTTATGAATTGCGCAAACCCATATTCACAAGGAAAGGATACTGGGTACCGTAACGAATCGAGAGGGATGTACACATTCATCTCCAGCGCTGATTCCAAATCTACATTTATTATCTGCAAGCTTTCGTGAAGGAAAACATAAGCATTTTCTGCAGAATTGCAAAACTACGTAACCGTAACCAAACCCGTTGGTATCGATCTCTCCTTCGCTACCTCACATTATTAACGCAAAATGCTAAGGCACTATGACTACTATATAACTCAGTCCCTCAGCAAGCGAAACCTTTGTAAAAATATAGTAACTTTATTCAAAAAACCATTTCGCAGATAAGATAGACATTCTGAATGAAAATTCAAAGGCGCATCTTATATAGAACCCTTTATGAATGGTCAAGGTCACTTTGTCAGTCTTACTTACAAATCTGCGCTCATACGACTCTGAATAAATGAGTAAGCTGTAATTATTTAGAGGCTCGATCATCCGGTTAAACAACTATGCCTTGCAATAATTGCCCACGCCGTGCCTTGGGCACCAGCTAGGCGAGCGGTCGCCGCGAGCGACTGTAGGCGCTCACTTTCTCTTCAAAAATTTCTCGTCAACTTCCATGTCGTTTTCAACAATGCAGGGTATATGTTGACGAAAACTTTGTTCAGAAGCTTATAAAAATACTAGCTGGCTTACCCGGCTCCGCCCGGCCCTGCCAAAACACTGTAAAAGGTCCCATCCCTATCCCTGCACAGCCTTTCCCTATGCCCACTTGTACACTTCATTGCCCGTTCCTTGTGTTGTTTTCGAAATCAGCATTCCCACTTACCCCCCCCCCCGTGCCAACTCCCAGTCCTGTAGCCCAGGCCTTGCAAAAAATTCATGAAATTGATAAAAGTAGCGGATAATTCCATAATCCAAAATTGTATTCGTAATCAGCATGCTCGATTACCCCCTGTGCCAACTCCCAGCCCCGCAGGTTAAACTCTACAGAAAATCATTAGAAATCAATAAAATAGACATCAATCGTTAACACGTTTCCGACCGCGACATCGCGCGGGCGAAAAAAGTGCACTTTCAATCATTAGCCAACAAAGGGACCTTGTTTCGTAGACTGTGTGCTACATGTGTAATCAGTTTGTCAGATAAGTTTCATACCCAAAGTGAGTGGATTCGAAATGTTTGATTGTTGTCGCTTGTGAAGGACTTCTATGCTTTAGCCAAGGGACATACCTCAAGCGATTTCAGTCGCCACGCGATCTGACACTTTGCCAGATGTTTTCAAATTCAATACTGGTAGACCCCAAATGCACAGCATGTATAACCTTCGTAGGTTGATAAAATGCCCCATTTTCCGTACATTCAGAAACCCCGTAGGATGAGTTATGAACGTTTAGAGCATTGCCAAATCGTGTGGCGACTGAAATCGCGTGAGGTATGCCCGAGGCCTTACAGAAAGATAGGAGCAAGAATTCAGTCCCTAATAGTATCCAAAACTATCTATAAGCTGCTGCATGACGAAGGCGCAATATCTACGGGCGCGAACGCAGCTTTATTAGCCGCAGAGCGCTTGACGCGCAGGATTTACAATGGTGAGGATATGCTCGTGTCGCGTTCGCACCCCGCTCAACTACTAATGCATCTGCGCCTTCGTCATGCAGTAGCCTTTATGTTGTAGACGGCGCACGTGAGTATTGGAGCTACGGTTTTTCTCCTTCGATATCAAAGCAAAGGAAGTTGCGACGTTGCACGCGTCGTTCGCGTTGCCGTTCGTTGCAACTGTTGTTCGATTTGTGCTCATATCTCCTTAAGAAATATCGGCGGCACAACTCTACAGAGTCAGTTGAAAAGTAGAAGCTTAGGCCTTTGTCTTGATAACTTTAGACTGAAAGAAAACCTTCTGTGAACAACAAAAAAATCCTTCAAAGCAGCATGCTGCACCATGTGCAGCACCGGTCCGAAACGCGTTAAAGAAAGGTAGCCTACGACACCCGCCCCGCTCCGAAGTATACATGTGCCAAGTTTGGTCCAGATCGGTTTAAAATGGACTTTTCTATTTTTAACATACATACGCAGGGGGGGGGGGGGCGCAGGATCGCGAGAGTCGGACGTGCGTACGGCCATTGCGCCGCGCACGTCAGATGTGCGTCCGACGACACAGGTAGGTGCCAGACTTATCCTGTTGTACAGGTTCATTCGGTTCACGCCTTTGCTGTTGGACAGTGTAGTAGTTTGAGCTATGAACCGAACGAACCGGCTGAAGTGGATAAGTTTGGCACCTGCTATAGTGACATCGGACGTGCGCAGCGCAATGGCCGTCGCACGTCCGATGACTCTCGCGGACTCTCGCGATCTGCAGGCCCCTATACCCACATAGAGACAGGCATACAGAGGTATAGGACGTTCGACAAATCGTGACGATAGCGCGACCGCGCACGTCACGCACGGACTTTGGCAACCACATTTCCTTTGTTTCATTACCTTATCCTTCACATCTCTACTTGAACTGTTTTTCTGCTTACGTATGATAACACGCCATCGCAATTTTTTTTATTAACAACATGGTCACAGTAACAGTTTCACAACATAGAAATCAGTCGAGACTAAAGATGTCATCCACCACCAACGGATTGATGTTCTCTTTCGACTTTCTGTTCTTCTCCTGCAGCGCAGCTCGAACTGCTCTCACGACAAAGTCGACTTCCGGGTCCGCATCTGCCTCTTCTTTTACTACAGGTGCAGCGGCTGGCGTTTTGGTATTATCTGACTTGACTGGATGCGGCCTCGGCGCTCGTGGGGGAATTGGTGAGCATCTGCAACTTAAAGTTTAGTCAATACATTTATTCTTCATCAAACTCACCTTCTCTTAGCAGGTGGCATGTCGGTTTCCTCCATGCGTTTACTGGCACCTCCGCGTGGTCGTTTCGGCCGGGCCTCTCGTAAGACTTTGCACAGTTTGTCGTCGTCAATGACCAAATACTCGTCATCGATCTTATTGATACACTTGAACAGATCCAATATTCTTATTCGCACAACCTCCACCATGGCAACACGAATGAGGCGACCTCAGAGCCCGCCGCCTTATATACCCTGGGGGCGGGGCCAAGGAGCGGCGGCGGGCTCTGATTGGCCGCCTTCTTATCAGGGCGTTCGCTGGAAGACCTGCTCGTTGTAACGCTTGAAGATAGGGGGGTTTTTGATTAGTTTCTAATCAAAACTTGAAACCTTTTCTGCAGACATGAAGGAAACCTACGAAAGCAAGAAGGAGATGATGTTTCCTTCAGATGCGATCATCCTAAGCTCCAGCAACGATGCAGCTGTGCAGCTGCAAGGATCCGTAGCACACTGGAGGATCGGTGAGTACATAGATGCACTACAAATTTTTGATTTCATGTTGTTGCTTCGCAAATCTTTGAATAGCAACATTGTCAATCCTTTGAAATGATTGTTTCTTGATTTCTCTAAGGCTCTGGCCAGACTTCGCTTTTGAGCGCCCAAAAGCGCTCAAAAACGCCCAAATTCCTCTAACCTCTCCTCACTTTCTCGTGTGAGGAGAGATGAGAGAAAATGAGGAGAGATTAGAGGAGTTGGGCGCTTTTGAGCACTTTTGGCCGCTTTTAAGCGAAGTCCGGCCGAGGCCTGAAGCTCATTTTCTTTCAGTTCACATTTGACTGTTTCAAAAACGGAAATTCGTGGACATTGTTATTGCTCTTGATGAAGGTCCAGCAGACAATCATACCAGAGCTGATTTGAGACGAATGATTGGGAATCGCCCAAATAATGAGTGCTTTGGTGCTTGCCACTCTCTCTGGTGCGAAAAAGACATGATATCCTCTTCTTCCTCGTTTCAAGGAAGAGGTGTCGTTGCGCATTGGAGGAGCGGTAAGTAGATGCATTTTCAAAAGTTTTTGATTTCATTTTGTTTGCTTCGCAAATCTTTGAATAGCAACATCGTCAATCTTTTGAAATGATTGTTTCCTGATTTCTCTAAGGCTCTGGCCAGACTTCGCTTTTGAGCGCCCAAAAGCGCTCAAAAACGCCCAAATTCCTCTAACCTCTCCTCACTTTCTCGTGTGAGGAGAGATGAGAGAAAATGAGGAGAGATTAGAGGAGTTGGGCGCTTTTGAGCACTTTTGGCCGCTTTTAAGCGAAGTCCGGCCGAGGCCTGAAGCTCATTTTCTTTCAGTTCACATTTGACTGTTTCAAAAACGGAAATTCGTGGACATTGTTATTGCTCTTGATGAAGGTCCAGCAGACAATCATACCAGAGCTGATTTGAGACGAATGATTGGGAATCGCCCAAATAATGAGTGCTTTGGTGCTTGCCACTCTCTCTGGTGCGAAAAAGACATGATATCCTCTTCTTCCTCGTCGCAAGGAAGAGGTCTCGCTGCGCATTGGAGGAGCGGTAAGTAGATGCATTTTCAAAAGTTTTTGATTTCATTTTGTTTGCTTCGCAAGTCTTTGAATTGCGATATTATCGATCCTTCGAAATGATTGTTTTTGATTTCTCTAAGGCTTTAGCCAGACTTCGCTCAAAAGCGCCCAAAAGCGCTCAAAAGCGCCCAAATTTCTCTAATCTCTCTTCACTTTCTCGTGCGAGGAGAGATTAGAGGAGTTGGGCGCTTTTGAGTGCTTTTGGCCGCTTTTGAGCGAAGTCCGGCCGAGGCCTGAAGCTCATTTCTTTCAGTTCGCATTTGACTGTTTCAAAAACGAAATCTTGGACATTGTCATTGCTCTTGATGGAGGTCCAGCAGCGAATACAGAGCTAATTTGAGACGCGAATTGATGGGAATCGGCCAAATAATGAGTGCTTTGGCACTTGCTACTCTGTCGGGTGCGAAAAGCACATGATGTCCTCTTCTTCCTCGTTTTAAGGAAGAGGTCTCGTTGCGCATTGGAGGAGCGGTAAGTAAATGCATTTCCAAAAGTTTTTGAATTCATGTTGTTGCTTCGCAAATCTTTGAATAGCAACATCGTCAATCTTTTGAAATGATTGTTTCCTGATTTCTCTAAGGCTCTGGCCAGACTTCGCTTTTGAGCGCCCAAAAGCGCTCAAAAACGCCCAAATTCCTCTAACCTCTCCTCACTTTCTCGTGTGAGGAGAGATGAGAGAAAATGAGGAGAGATTAGAGGAGTTGGGCGCTTTTGAGCACTTTTGGCCGCTTTTAAGCGAAGTCCGGCCGAGGCCTGAAGCTCATTTTCTTTCAGTTCGCATTTGACTGTTTCAAAAACGAAATCTTGGACATTGTCATTGCTCTTGATGGAGGTCCAGCAGCGAATACCAGAGCTAATTTGAGACGAATTGTTGGGAATCGGCCAAATAATGAGTGCTTTGGCACTTGCTACTCTGTCGGGTGCGAAAAGGACATGATATCCTCTTCTTCCTCGTCGCAAGGAAGAGGTCTCGCTGCGCATTGGAGGAGCGGTAAGTAGATGCATTTTCAAAAGTTTTTGATTTCATTTTGTTTGCTTCGCAAGTCTTTGAATTGCGATATTATCGATCCTTCGAAAAGATTGTTTTTGATTTCTCTAAGGCTTTAGCCAGACTTCGCTCAAAAGCGCCCAAAAGCGCTCAAAAGCGCCCAAATTTCTCTAATCTCTCTTCACTTTCTCGTGCGAGGAGAGATTAGAGGAGTTGGGCGCTTTTGAGTGCTTTTGGCCGCTTTTGAGCGAAGTCCGGCCGAGGCCTGAAGCTCATTTCTTTCAGTTCGCATTTGACTGTTTCAAAAACGAAATCTTGGACATTGTCATTGCTCTTGATGGAGGTCCAGCAGCGAATACAGAGCTAATTTGAGACGCGAATTGATGGGAATCGGCCAAATAATGAGTGCTTTGGCACTTGCTACTCTGTCGGGTGCGAAAAGCACATGATATCCTCTTCTTCCTCGTCGCAAGGAAGAGGTCTCGTTGCGCATTGGAGGAGCGGTAAGTAAATGCATTTCCAAAAGTTTTTGAATTCATGTTGTTGCTTCGCAAATCTTTGAATAGCAACATCGTCAATCTTTTGAAATGATTGTTTCCTGATTTCTCTAAGGCTCTGGCCAGACTTCGCTTTTGAGCGCCCAAAAGCGCTCAAAAACGCCCAAATTCCTCTAACCTCTCCTCACTTTCTCGTGTGAGGAGAGATGAGAGAAAATGAGGAGAGATTAGAGGAGTTGGGCGCTTTTGAGCACTTTTGGCCGCTTTTAAGCGAAGTCCGGCCGAGGCCTGAAGCTCATTTTCTTTCAGTTCGCATTTGACTGTTTCAAAAACGAAATCTTGGACATTGTCATTGCTCTTGATGGAGGTCCAGCAGCGAATACCAGAGCTAATTTGAGACGAATTGTTGGGAATCGGCCAAATAATGAGTGCTTTGGCACTTGCTACTCTGTCGGGTGCGAAAAGGACATGATATCCTCTTCTTCCTCGTCGCAAGGAAGAGGTCTCGCTGCGCATTGGAGGAGCGGTAAGTAGATGCATTTTCAAAAGTTTTTGATTTCATTTTGTTTGCTTCGCAAGTCTTTGAATTGCGATATTATCGATCCTTCGAAATGATTGTTTTTGATTTCTCTAAGGCTTTAGCCAGACTTCGCTCAAAAGCGCCCAAAAGCGCTCAAAAGCGCCCAAATTTCTCTAATCTCTCTTCACTTTCTCGTGCGAGGAGAGATTAGAGGAGTTGGGCGCTTTTGAGTGCTTTTGGCCGCTTTTGAGCGAAGTCCGGCCGAGGCCTGAAGCTCATTTCTTTCAGTTCGCATTTGACTGTTTCAAAAACGAAATCTTGGACATTGTCATTGCTCTTGATGGAGGTCCAGCAGCGAATACAGAGCTAATTTGAGACGCGAATTGATGGGAATCGGCCAAATAATGAGTGCTTTGGCACTTGCTACTCTGTCGGGTGCGAAAAGCACATGATATCCTCTTCTTCCTCGTCGCAAGGAAGAGGTCTCGTTGCGCATTGGAGGAGCGGTAAGTAAATGCATTTCCAAAAGTTTTTGATTTCATTTTGTTGCTTCGCAAATCTTTAAATAGCAACATCGTCAATCCTTTGAAATGATTGTTTCCTGATTTCTCTAAGGCTCTGGCCAGACTTCGCTTTTGAGCGCCCCAAAAGCGCTCAAAAACGCCCAAATTCTCTAACCTCTCCTCACTTTCTCGTGTGAGGAGAGATGAGAGAAAATGAGGAGAGATTAGAGGAGTTGGGCGCTTTTGAGCACTTTTGGCCGCTTTTGAGCGAAGTCCGGGCGAGGCCTCAAGCTCATTTTCTATCAGTTGACATTTGACTGTTTCGAAAACGAAAATTTGTGGACATTGTCATTGTTCTTGAGGAGGTCCAGCAGAGAATAATACCAGAGCTAATTTAGGACGAATGATTGGGAATCGCCCAAATAATGAGTGCTTTGGTGCTTGTCACTCTGTCGGGTGCGAAAAGGATATGATGTGCTCTTGTTCCTCGTCGCAAGAAGAGGTCTCGCTGCGCATTGGAGGAGCGGTAAGTAGATGCATTTTCAAAAGTTTTTGATTTCATTTTGTTTGCTTCGCAAGTCTTTGAATTGCGATATTATCGATCCTTTGAAATGATTGTTTTTTTGATTTCTCTAAGGCTCTGGCCAGACTTCGCTCAAAAGCGGCCGAAAGCGCTCAAAAGCGCCCAAATTTCTCTAATCTCTCTTCACTTTCTCGTGCGAGGAGAGATTAGAGGAGTTGGGCGCTTTTGAGTGCTTTTGGCCGCTTTTGAGCGAAGTCCGGCCGAGGCCTGAAGCTCATTTCTTTCAGTTCGCATTTGACTGTTTCAAAAACGAAATCTTGGACATTGTCACTGCTCTTGATGGAGGTCCAGCAGAGAATAATACCAGAGCTAATTTAGGACGAATGATTGGGAATCGCCCAAATAATGAGTGCTTTGGTGCTTGTCACTCTGTCGGGTGCGAAAAGGATATGATGTGCTGTTGTTCCTCGTCGCAAGGAAGAGGTCTCGCTGCGCATTGGAGGAGCGGTAAGTAGATGCATTTTCAAAAGTTTTTGATTTCATTTTGTTTGCTTCGCAAGTCTTTGAATTGCGATATTATCGATCCTTTGAAATGATTGTTTTTTGATTTCTCTAAGGCTCTGGCCAGACTTCGCTCAAAAGCGGCCGAAAGCGCTCAAAAGCGCCCAAATTTCTCTAATCTCTCTTCACTTTCTCGTGTGAGAAGAGATGAGAGAAAGTGAGGAGAGATTAGAGGAGTTGGGCGCTTTTGAGTGCTTTTGGCCGCTTTTGAGCGAAGTCCGGCCGAGGCCTGAAGCTCATTTCTTTCAGTTCGCATTTGACTGTTTCAAAAACGAAATCTTGGACATTGTCACTGCTCTTGATGGAGGTCCAGCAGAGAATAATACCAGAGCTAATTTAGGACGAATGATTGGGAATCGCCCAAATAATGAGTGCTTTGGCACTTGCTACTCTGTCGGGTGCGAAAAGCACATGATGTCCTCTTCTTCCTCGTTTTAAGGAAGAGGTCTCGCTGCGCATTGGAGGAGCGGTAAGTAGAGTAGATGCATTTCCAAAAGTTTTTGATTTCATTTTGTTTGCTTCGCAAGTCTTTGAATTGCGATATTATCGATCCTTTGAAATGATTGTTTTTGATTTCTCTAAGGCTTTAGCCAGACTTCGCTCAAAAGCGCCCAAAAGCGCTCAAAAGCACCCAAATTCCTCTAATCTCCCTTCACTTTCTCGTGTGAGAAGAGATGAGAGAAAGTGAGGAGAGATTAGAGGAGTTGGGCGCTTTTGAGTGCTTTTGGCCGCTTTTGAGCGAAGTCCGGCTGAGGCCTGAAGCTCACTTTCTTTCAGTTCGCATTTGACTGTTTCAAAAACGAAATCTTGGACATTGTCATTGTTCTTGATGGAGGTCCAGCAGAGAATAATACCAGAGCTAATTTAGGACGAATGATTGGGAATCGCCCAAATAATGAGTGCTTTGGTGCTTGTCACTCTGTCGGGTGCGAAAAGGATATGATGTGCTGTTGTTCCTCGTCGCAAGGAAGAGGTCTCGCTGCGCATTGGAGGAGCGGTAAGTAGATGCATTTTCAAAAGTTTTTGATTTCATTTTGTTTGCTTCGCAAGTCTTTGAATTGCGATATTATCGATCCTTTGAAATGATTGTTTTTTGATTTCTCTAAGGCTCTGGCCAGACTTCGCTCAAAAGCGGCCGAAAGCGCTCAAAAGCGCCCAAATTTCTCTAATCTCTCTTCACTTTCTCGTGTGAGAAGAGATGAGAGAAAGTGAGGAGAGATTAGAGGAGTTGGGCGCTTTTGAGTGCTTTTGGCCGCTTTTGAGCGAAGTCCGGCCGAGGCCTGAAGCTCATTTCTTTCAGTTCGCATTTGACTGTTTCAAAAACGAAATCTTGGACATTGTCACTGCTCTTGATGGAGGTCCAGCAGAGAATAATACCAGAGCTAATTTAGGACGAATGATTGGGAATCGCCCAAATAATGAGTGCTTTGGTGCTTGTCACTCTGTCGGGTGCGAAAAGGATATGATGTGCTGTTGTTCCTCGTCGCAAGGAAGAGGTCTCGCTGCGCATTGGAGGAGCGGTAAGTAGATGCATTTTCAAAAGTTTTTGATTTCATTTTGTTTGCTTCGCAAGTCTTTGAATTGCGATATTATCGATCCTTTGAAATGATTGTTTTTTGATTTCTCTAAGGCTCTGGCCAGACTTCGCTCAAAAGCGGCCGAAAGCGCTCAAAAGCGCCCAAATTTCTCTAATCTCTCTTCACTTTCTCGTGTGAGAAGAGATGAGAGAAAGTGAGGAGAGATTAGAGGAGTTGGGCGCTTTTGAGTGCTTTTGGCCGCTTTTGAGCGAAGTCCGGCCGAGGCCTGAAGCTCATTTCTTTCAGTTCGCATTTGACTGTTTCAAAAACGAAATCTTGGACATTGTCACTGCTCTTGATGGAGGTCCAGCAGCGAATACCAGTCGAGACTGAAGATGTCATCCACCAACGGATTGATGTTCTCTTTCGACTTTTTGTTCTTCTCCTGCAGTGCAGCTCGAACCGCTCTCACGATAAAGTCCACTTCCGGGTCCGCATTTGCATCTTCTTTTACTACAGGTGCAGCGGCTGGCGTTGTGGTATTATCTGTCTTGACTGGATGCGGCCTCGGCGCTCGTGGGGGAATTGGTGAACACCTGCAACTTAAAGTTTAGTCAATACATTTATTCTTCATCAAACTCACCTTCGCTTAGCAGGTGGCATGTCGGTTTCTTCCATGCTTTTACTGGCACCTCCGCGTGGTCGTTTCGGCCGGGCCTCTCGTAAGACTTTGCAGATTTTGTCGTCGTCAATGACCAAATACTCGTCATCGATCTTATTGATACACTTGAACAGATCCAATATTCTTATTCGCACAGCCTCTATGATCGCAACACGAATGAGGCGACCTCAGAGCCCGCCGCCTTATATACCCTGGGGGCGGGGCCAAGGAGCGGCGGCGGGCTCTGATTGGCCGCCTTCTTATCAGGGCGTTCGCTGGAAGACCTGCTCGTCGTAACGCTTGAAGATAGGGGGGTTTTTGATTAGTTTCTAATCAAAACTTGAAACCTTTTCTGCGGACATGAAGGAAACCTACGAAGGCAAGAAGGAGATGATGTTTCCTTCAAATGCGGTCATCCTAAGCTCCAGCAAGATGCAGCTGTGCAGTTGCAGGGATCCGTAGCACACTGGAGGATCGGTGAGTACATAGATGCATTTTCAAAAGTTTTTGATTTCATTTTGTTTGCTTCGCAAGTCTTTGAATAGCAGTATCACCAATCCTTTGAAATGATTGTTTTTTGATTTCTCTAAGGCTCTTGCCAGACTTCGCTCAAAAGCGCCCAAAAGCGCTCAAAAGCGCCCAAATTCCTCTAATCTCCCTTCACTTTCTCGTGTGAGAAGAGATGAGAAAAAGTGAGGAGAGATTAGAGGAGTTGGGCGCTTTCGAGCGCTTTTGGCCGCTTTGAGCGAAGTCCGGGCGAGACCTCAAGCTCATTTTCCTTCAGTTGACATCTGACTGTTTCGAGGAAAGTTGACGTTGTCATTGTTCTTGTTAGAGGTCCAATTAAGACGCATGATTGGGAAACGCCCAAATAATGAGTGCTTTAGTGCTAACCACTCTGTCGGGTGCGAAAACCAAAAAGGAGATGATGTCGTCTTCAAATCTGATCATCATACGCTCCAGCAGCGGTGCAGCTGTGCAGTCGCAAGGATTCGTAGCACATTGGAGGGTCGCTAAGTAGATGCATTTCCAAAAGTTTTTAATTTCTTTTTGTTTGCTTTGCAAGGAACTCTTTGAATAACAATATCACCAATCCTTCGAAATGATTGTTTCTTGATTTCTCTAATGCCCTGGCCAGACTTTGCTCAAAACCGCCGAAAAGCGCCCAAACTTCTCTAATCTCTCTTCACTTTCTCCTGTAAGGAGAGGTGAGAAAAAGTGAAGAGAGGTTAGAGGAGTTGGGCGCTTTTGAGTGCTTTTGGCCGCTTTTGAGCGAAGTCCGGCCGAGGCCTCAAGCTCATTTTTTTTCAGTTGACATTTGACCGAAAACGAAAATTTGTTTTTGCCACTGAGAAATTAAGAAAAAAACTCTCAGAAGATTGGTAATAACACTTTTCAAAGAGTCCTTTGCAAAGCAAACAAAATGAAATCAAAAGCTCTTGCAAATGCATCTACTTACCAGTCCTCCAATGCGCTACGAATCCTTGCGACTGCACAGTTGCATCGCTGCTGGAGCGTATGATGATCACATTTGAGGAGGACATCATCTCCTTTTTGCTTTTCGCACCCGACAGAGTGGCAAGCACTAAAGCACTCATTATTTGGGCGTTTCCCAATCATGCGTCTTAATTGGACCTCTATCAAGAACAATGACAACGTCAACTTTCCTCGAAACAGTCAAATGTCAACTGATAGAAAATGAGCTTGAGGCCTCGCCCAGGCTTCGCTCAAAAGCGGCCAAAAGCGCTCAAAAGCGGCCAAAAGCGCTCAAAAGCGCCCAACTCCTCTAATCTCTTTTCACTTTCTCTCATCTCTCCTCACACGAGAAAGTGAAGAGAGATTAGAGGAATTTGGGCGCTTTTGAGCGCTTTTGGGCGCTTTTGAGCGAAGTCTGGCCAGAGTTTTAGAGAAACCAAGAAACAATCATTTCAATGGAATGGTGATATTGCTATTCAAAAAGTTCCTTGCAAAGCAAACAAAATGAAATCAAAAGCTCTTGCAAATGCATCTACTTACCAGTCCTCTAATGCGCTACGAATCCTTGCGACTGCACGCTGCATCGCCGCTGGAGCGTAGGATGATCGCATTTGAAGAGAACATCATCTCCTTCTTGATTTCTTTGGTTTTCTCCATGTTTACAGAAAAAGTTCCAAGTTTTAAATAGAAACTGATCAAAAACTCCTTATCATCAAGCCCAACGACCGGAAAGGTCTTCCAGCGAACGCCCTGAGAAGAAGGCGGCCAGTCAGAGCCCGCCGCCGCTCCTTGGCCCCGCCCCCAGGGTATATAAGGCGGCGGGCTCTGAGGTCGCCTCATCTGTGTTGGGATCATGGAGGCTGTGCAGATCAGAATATTGGATCTGTTTAAATGTATCAGTACGACTGATGGTGAACATCTGGTAATTGACGACGATAAAATCTGCAAAACTCTAAGAGAAGGCCGCCTAAAAAGACCACGAGGAGCGAGCAATAGACAGCAGCACCTGGAAGAGACTGATATGCCTCCGGCTAAGAGGAGGTTGATAAAAATGAATGTATTGACTAAACTTTGAGTTGCAGATGTTCATCCAATCCCCCACGAGCGCCTAAGCCACCTCAGCCTAAGCCACCTCCAATCAAGTCGAATACTCTCACATCGGTATCAGCCGCTGGACCTGTGGTGAATGAAGAAGCTAAGGCAGATCCGGAAGTCGACTTTATTGTAAGAGCCGTGCGAGCTGCGCTGCAGGAGAAAAAGAAAAAGTCGAAAGAGAACATGGATCCGTTGGCGGATGAAATCTTCAGCCTCGACTGATTCCCGAACATACGTTCTGAAACTGTTATTGTGACCTTGTTGTTAATAAAAGAATTCTGAATGATGTGTTATCACACATAAGAGAAAGACCGTTCAAGTAGAAATGAAGACAAAGAAAATGTGGTTGCCTGAGGTCCGTGCGTGTCGTGCGCGGTCGCGCCATCGTCACGATTTGTCGAACGTGCTACACGTCTGTATGTCTGTCTCTATGTAGGTATAGCCTGCTGCATGACGAAGGCGCATTACCGTTGGGCGCGAACGTGGCTTTATTAGCCGCAGACCGCACGAGGCACAAGATTTGCAACGGTGGGGATACGCGCACGCCGAGTTTGCACCCGCTCAATTCAAACTGCTTCTGCGCCTTCGTCATGCAGTAACCTTTACGTATGTTTCGAATAGATTCCATTTTCGAACGATCTGGACCAAACTTGGCACACATAAACTTCGGAGCGGAGCGGGTGTCGTAGGCTACTTTTCTTTATCGATCGATGTCTATTTTATCGACTTCTAAATATTTTTGTAGAGTTTAACCTGTGGGGCTAAGAGTTCACAGGGGGGGGGGGTAATCGAGCATGCTGATTACGAATACAATATTAGTTTCCACAATTATCAAATACTTGTCGGTTTCATCAATTTTTGCAGTTTGGGCTACGGGACTGGGAGTGGGCACAGGGGGGGGGGGGGGGAGTTGAACATGGATTACGAATACAATATTGGTTATTGAAATTATTTGTTACTTTCATCGATATCGATCTTCTGCATTTCTGCAGTTGTATTCCTCTTCTTGAAAAGAACAACTCTGGTTTTTTTTCGCCGAGATGTATATACGTGGTGCCGGGCGGAGCCGGGTATGCCAGCTAGTATAGGATAAGATTCGAGACCTCTTGCTAGACCGGGAAGGTGATTGCGAGACGGTGTCAGAGTGTAAGTGGACTTGGGTAGTTTTAAGGTATTGAAAGGTATGACAGGACCCTTTGAATAGGGCAAGATATGAGTACAGAAGCCAAATGCTCCGAAGGGGTGTCACTGAGAGCATAAAATTCTTTTGGGTTCCTGTAACTCCAAACACCATTTATACGTGGAACTTCCTTGTCACTTCCCAGGGAATTAGAGAAGCCTCTGCCGTAATAAACTTCAAGTATTCTCGTGTTTGAAGTTTCCAGGCATATCACAAACTATTTGTACAGTCTGTCATAATTACAATCACTTCGCAAGATCGAGATGTCAAAATTCAGGCTACGTCTCTAATTGACCCTTTTTCCAAGTATGGACTCCTAGACAAAGACGATTGTCTGGGCGTACTTGAGGTTGGTAGCTCTAGTAAGGAAAGGTATCGACAGCTGCTGTTGAAAGTATGGCAGACACTCAGAAGTATGACTTAAACACGTCACTGCTCACTTCCTTTGTTGTGTAGAGTAAACACTTGCCGATGGAAGCCTTTTTGATCGCAAAAGCAGGTTGTTCTCCAACAGGTGGTAGAGCGGTAGGGCTTGGGAATCCGGGAATGACGGCTGTTTGGCCGGGTGCTGCAAAATGTGAGAGCGCTGTTCCAAGTAGGGCTAGTTGGAATCGCTCCGAAAGTTGGGGGAGTGAATCCACAGTGTGGAAGACCGCCCCCCCCCCCCCACCTCCTGATCCTCCTGATTCTCTTCTGCGTTAGAGTTTTTCTCGCTAGAGCACTTCAGTATGGGTTTTCGGATTCAGCATAGCAAATATGCCCGGGCAAGCACAAAATCTCAGAATCAACTTTTTGCCCGGACACTGTCTTTAAAAACCATCAACCAGTAGCTGGCATACCCGGCTCCGTCCGAGACTACATACACTTCGGTTAAAAAAAGCTGAGGTTGTATCCCTTAAGAAGAGGAATACAGCTTCGGCTCTTTCGTTGTACCGTTTCGTTCCTACCCTTAGACGGTTTGGCTGAATGGGTCCTAAGCTTTCCCCGGAACTCATCAGTAAGGAAGGAAGCTCGATTGGATCCATCCAGTTCCTTGTTTGTCCCACCCACCTGCCCTGACCGCCGCTGGCCGCCGTTTTTTTGGGTTTTCGTTTTGCCATTTTTTTGGATTTTGTATTTTCCAATTTTTTTGGATTTTCCAATAGAATGGCATGCAACAAATAAATACTGTACTATACTACAGCATGCAATTATGTTAGCGCCCTGGGATACACTACGTTAGCCGTGCTCCCTTCGGGCGCATATATGTACAGGTTCGCCGGACTC